GCCCGGGGAGGGAGCGGGGCCGCCCGGGCTGCCCGGGAGCGCGGCACCGCGTCCCACCCCCCCGGCCCTCGGCACGCGGTTTCCCGTCGATTTTCTAAGGAGCGGGCAGCGGCGGCGGCGCCCCCGCCGCAAACGCCCCAAAGTTTTCGGCGCGGTGTCGGTGTCGGTACAAAACGCGTGCTCCCTCTTCGAGGTGCCGTTTCTGCGTGTTTACGCACACGGGGCACTGAGAGGAAAAAAATCTAAACGCTTTCGCCTCCCCGCCCCCCGCCGAGACCTCCGTGAAAACAAAGGAGAGACGCGGGAGTGGCGGGTCCCTTCCACCTTCCCCCTCCGAGGTGTCCCGCGGGCCGGCTCTCTCCCTGCCCGAGCCGAGCGTGGGCGCTTCCCGGAGCTGTGAAGAAAAAAATAAATAAAAAAAAAGCAATATTGTTGAGACACCGCTGGCGAAACGAGGCCTTACTATTTAAATCTTAGTGTCAGCTCTCATTAACAGCTCAAGTCATCTTTTCCCCCGGGCGGACCTTGTCTGGTCTATCGACTTAATGGAAAACAAAACACATGTTTGTATTCTATTATTACAATCTCGTTCCTTGCCTTGCGGAGAGCAGGGACAGGCTTCGCCTGCGTGGCGAGGGGCTTCCCGAAGCGACAACGCTCTCCCTTCCTTCCTCCCTCCTAGGAGAAGTCAAGGATTCCGGCGTCCGTCTCCTGCCCTCCCTCAGGAATCGGGGCTGCAATGGCAGCCTCAAGAAAAGGCTTTCACTGAAGCAGCGGATGCTCAAAAGAGTCCGAGAAAAATAGTTACTGGTAGGTTCAGCCAAACTTAGAAAAGCACAATAGTCTCTGCGGGAAACTCGGGGCCTTATTTGTGCATCAGGTGAAGTGCTCGGCGGCTCGGATCCAGCTGCCAGGACCCCAGCATCGCCCAGGGAAGCCGGCCGTGAGGAGCCGAGCACGCCAGGCAATAACAGGCGACAGACTGAGAGTTTCCAGTCAACCCAAAACAAACAAACAAGCTCCCCCGACTCCCACCGGGAAGGTGGCTTTGATAAGGAGGCAGGGAAAGTTTTGAAGAGCTGCAGACGCTTTTATAAATGTACTTTAATGTATTTTAGCTCGTCTGTGCAGAACAAGCTTTTTTAATTATTACCCCCCCCGCCCCTCCGAGACAATGGAAGGGGGAGGGTGGGAGTAAGAGCTTGATAAAAGGCAGGAATACATTTCTCACCTAAGGAAAGCAGGAGAGGTCTGTAGGAGTGGCGACCTGACCTGAATAAGGAAAAGGATTCTGGTGCACGAAAATAAACGATGCATTTCACTCCACCGCCCCCAGCGCCTCCGCTGGGGTACGGGTCTGTGCGCATTTCCAAGCACAGGGCACTTGAACCTGACAAGAGTAACCGATCGAAACGAGCTGTCTTAATGTTCACCTCTTTGCTCTCTTGACTCAGATCTTTTTAAGCCATCTCCAGCCGACCATTCCCCCCCTCCCCCCCCGCCTTCGGGACGCGCAGATCTCAATAGGGAAGGTGCGAACGTGGAGTTGCCCAGAGGGGGCACCGCTCCCTGCGCGGCTGCGGAGTGGGGCTGCTGCGCCCCAGCGGAGGGAGCAGGGCCCCCTCCCGGGTCCCTCTCCCCCCGGGGGTCCCTCTCCTGCCAGGGGAACCCTGCCGGCTCGGGCATCGAGAGCAGGGCCCGCAACTTTCCCGCTTTTGAAGCGGCGTTTGCTCTCAAGCGCTTGGCTGTAAATAAACGCTCTGGCAGTAACAACACAGCCGTCCTGCAGTCAGAGCGGAGGCTGCCTCTGCACCTTTCCTCTGCGACACACGCCGTCAGCGTTTTAATTCCAGCTCCAAAGGGAACCTGCAATTATGAGCCCCCCTCGTCCCCTCCCGCTCGCGTTCTCTTGTTTGAAACACTCACTGAGGAAGGTTATTTGGATTGCGAGTAAAATCAAACAGGGAGGGGAGGAAGAAAAAAAAAAGCCCCACAAACCCAACAACCCAGCAAACCCTTCCATTTGCTATTTACAAAACTCATTGTCATGCTTCACTCAGGCTGTCTGCCTAGCTTGGGGAAATAAATGTGACTGCACCAGAGACAAAGCCGATGCAGCTGTATTTGAAATTTCTCAAACACTGTCAAACGTGCTCTTGTCTCATAATTCTCGGGGTTGTTGTTGTTATTATGATCATCATACCTAACGTGAACATACTCGAAAGAGAGGTGCTTGGCGGCGTGGAGACCTCGTTCCGGTCGGAAATGCCCAGAGATTCCTTATGCAAAAAGCCCAAGGTTCAAGCTTCGCCCTCCTGCTTGGAAGCCTGGGCGGAAAAAACTGAGGAAAACTTGAGACCTCTAATTTCCCTCTTTTTTCTTTCCTCCTTTTTTTTTTTTTCTTTTGGTTTTGTTTGGGTTTTTTTGGACCTTCCTTGTGTTTCCCCGATTCCCGCAGAAGTGGGTGGGTTTGCCTCGTTCCCCAGATGATAACCCACTTCGGCCACCGCGGAGGGGAGGAGAACGAGACTACGGGTCTCTTGCAAGGGGAAAGGTGTCCGCTGGATGTCACATCCCAGCCGTCGTGTCCGCTTCCCTCTCCGGAGGGTCGCTGGGAGCCTGCCAGTAGGTTTGCCTCGGCCGGGGCCGTTACGACGCAGATCCCTGCCCTCGACTCCTTAGGAGAGGAGGACGCTAAAGCACACCGGGGCCACCGCAGGAGGTGTCCCTAAGGGAGTGCCTTGGAGCAGTCCCACGGCCCTCGCCTCAGCTGCCCGGCTGCTGGCGAGGACGGGCGAACCCTGCCGGCCCCCTCCCCGGGCGGCCTCGCCGAGCCGCCTCCGCCCG